CACATTAAGTAATTCTAAGCTAACTAAATTTGTTCTTCGTTCGAGAAAGAGAAAGAGATTCCGAAAAAGGCTCCGGAGAGATCGAGAAAATAATATTTGTGCATGCAATCCAATAAGGCTTGAGGCTGAACAATAAAAGACTGTTTTTGTTTCTTTGATTTGAATTGAAAAACCACGTTAAACAATAAAATATTTAAACCACAAAGTGAACAATAGGCCAACAAAAACATCTCTTCTGCAAAACCTATCACACACACACACACACAGAATTCTACGTCGATTCTAGCGAATTTACATTGTTTTCAATGGCAAGTAGCGCGTTTGCCACAGACTTTTTCATTCAACCTTCGCTCCTTTGGCTCTGTGTGTGTACTGTTTAAACAATTTCTTCACGAAAAAAATATTTCTTTTGACATTGTCGTTTTATAGCAAATAATGAAGAAATGGAAAAAACAACAAAAAATGAAAAGAAATCAAAACGCAAAGAGAGAGAGAGAGAGAGAGAGAGAGAGAGAGAGAGAGAGAGAGAGAGACAGAACCAGAAAAAAATATGTGTGCGCGCGCATACACATGGTGAAGAGCATTTATACGTACGATCAGCGATCTGGCCCACTCACTTACTCGTTCCACATAAAACTATCGAATTTCGGAGCATTGCAATGTATAGTTTGAGACATAGTTGATTTTGATGCTGATTTCGATTGAATTGAGGTCTGCACAACGCTAGTGGAGAACAATGAAGACATTACAAATGAAAAACTGAAGACACAAAATTTACATGGAATTTGTTATTGAATTCGATTCAGTAAAATAATCTAGATGAAGAGAGACGAACAGACAAAAAAAAATATCTAAAGAGTGCACATGCGAAATGAATTCTCTTTTTTCTACAATAACAATGACAGCAGCATTTTTATAATTGTGATTGATCATGTTTTGTTGCGACGTGCGCACAACGTGAAATGTCTTTCTTTTTGGTCCTAAGGAAAACTGTGGAAATAATGGCTTCTTGTTCGTTCATTGTTGTTGCGTAAATGATGCGTGTAAACCTGTGACCGATGTTTGCGCTTTGTTAATCAATTATCTCGACAAATTGCTCGAAATCTCACATAAGATATCTAGCGCGCGCATATTGAATACTGCGTGGGCATGTGATCGAAGTTTTAGCATGAAAATAAATATTAAGTTTCCATTTCATTCGTATTGGCTTTTCTATTGGGATGTGTCAGCAGACTCGTCACATTCGAACAATCGACTCAATGTGAAAGTAGAAACGGAAAAAAAAATCGAAATCGACACCACAACAATCAGTAATTCCATCTCGAATGACCAAAACAACAAATTAACAACCAATTCAATTGGCACAACAATGGACCAAAATAAAAATCACCCTGTTGATTTCATTAAAATACAATGAAATCCAATTGACTAAATCGAAGAAAACAAATTTGATTCAATTCCAGAAACAATCGCACAGAACGGACGAACCCAATAACAACAACAGCAGCATGAACGAAAAAAATTACTATAAATATTATATTTCCATTTCCTCGACCGTTTTCTTCATTGCAAAAAGCAACGAAAACTTTGGCATCAATTAAAGTAATTGAATTTCGGTGTAGTAAATGCACATCCTGTCTTCGGTTTGACAAACAATACAGAGCCTATCTGGTTGAATTTCGTTGGGTTTTATTGGTGGTGTTAAACAAATTACAGCTTAGAGCTAGTGAAAAAAAAACAGTAGCAACAATTGATTGGCGAATGCAGAAGAAACGGCCTTAATCAACAATAATTTGGGTCGTTTTTTTTTCTTGAATTACCTTTCATTCATTTGTTGCTGCTGTTGTTGACGGTAAATCGGAAGTCATGTGTTGTCGTTCGTTTTGTCAGACAACTTGAGCGTGAAACTTGTTTCTTGTGATCTAGTCATTGCCTCGAGATGATTGTTGCTGTGATTAATCTATCTGTGGGCAACAGTTGACATCTCTCCAAAATTGTTCAATGGAAACTTATTTCGATATTGAATGGGTCCGTTTCGTACGACAACCCATCGCCCAAACCGATGAAATGAAATCGATATATGTGATTTGCGGTGTGAGATCCTTATACGTGATATTTGTTGCAAATCTCTTTCCCATTCTCCCTCCCACTCTCTTGCTCTCTCTCTCTCTCTCACTCTCCAGGGCTTAGCTATTGGCTTTTAAGTACCTGACCGAATTAATGCATGTGCGCTGAAATCAATGCAAAATTGTGTGCGTGCGTGCGTGTGTCCGTCTGTCTCTCACTTTCAGCCCCGCAAATTTCTCGAGTGTGTTTTGTGTTTGTGTGGCTTTTGGTAACAGAATCGCATTGTGTGTGTACGTTTTTTTTTCTCGGTAAACTCACAAAATTCGATAAATAAATTGCAGCCGGTTGACAAATACGCAGCGGAGAAAGAAAGAGAACATGGAAAAATTGGACAATTTTTCTGTCGCTGGTTCACTTTTTGTTGTTGTTGTTGTTGTTGTTGTTGTTGATTGAGTACTATCAGTTTATAAACGAAAACGATTCCATTCATTATTCGAGATGTGAAGTATGCACTTAACAGATTTTTACATGTGACCGTAAGCACATTCTTCCCATTTTCATGCTCGAAACGCTCGAAAGAGTTCAATGGTTTCTTTTATCGGTTATTGTATACAAATGTTGGCAACGACTACTGGCGAGAGAGAAATTTTTTTTTGGAAATCAAGGGAAAAAAACGAAGAACAAGACCAAAAAATGTTGATCTGTTGAAATTGAATGACGACTGTCATCGAGTGCAGGTAAATACCGGAAAAAGGTTGAACAAGCAGTAAATTGTGAACACATTTTTTTTTTCACTGACGCATTTATCTATTACTCTTTTTTCTTGATCATCTCAGTAAACGAGTAATTCGGCTTTTTTCCTTTTCCTACGTCGACAGCATGCAAATCTTCTGCAACTGAAACCAATTAAATTCACTTGAAGAGGTTGGATTTTCCGACAAAAATCAATTTCACATTCTCTCTCATCGGTTCGGAATGTTATATTGTTGGATTACGACAAAAGCCTAGGCACAAGTCTCTTTCTCTCTGTATTTTTTTAGTCGAATCCAGAGAAATTCATTTGTGATCAACCATACTGAGAGAGAGAGAGAGAGAGAGAGAGAGAGAGAGAGAGAGAGAGAGAGCAAAAACAAGAGTTTGCATTTTCCACAAATCGAATCGAAATCAATTACACACAGTTACTCATGCGAGAATTGTATGCTCTTCAGGCACACCGATTTTTTTTTTGAAACAACAGCAAATGCACATAACAATTTCACTACTTGAGCATATATGTATTTTTTTTTTCAGGGTGAAAACAGTGGATTGGCACGCGGAATAGAACAGAAAAAAAAGTCAGGAAATAGTTGGCAAATACCACCCCATCAAGCAGTGTGTGCACACAAATAGGGAAAAGTGAAGCGAAAGAAAAACGGTAACAGACGGATACTTGAATCGTTCTAAAGATGATTCGCTTGGATGCGTTTACATATGAATTGTGTGCACGCGAAAAAAATACACACATGTCTCGAAGGTGTTCGTTGACAGAGAAAAAAGAAAAATAAACGCCTCATTTTTCTGATTGCTCAAATCACGGCGCATTTTTTTTTTCGTAGCGGAAAAAAATGTTCGTGCATATTATGCGAAATCATCAATCTGAACGGGTATGTTATTTAAACGCTCATTTTTGTACCTCGTTCATTTTTGATGTGCCCGTGCAAATTCATTTCTGTCGCGGCTTAACCCGCAAATCAACAGCATTTTTATGCAAGGGAAACCGGCCGAATAATTTATTGTTGTGTTTCGAAACACTTGATCTTAGATGTCGGCGCACTGCAACAGCAACAAACGCTACTAAACTCAACACTTGAAATCATGCTGAACAAAATCGAGCGCATATTCCTTTTTTTTGCTAATGTGGAAAGCGGTTATACAGTGTGCATCAAACCGAAATGTTGATTTTGCTTAAAATGAGACTAATTTCATGAATTGGTAGAATCATTCGACACCGCGCTTTTCCATGGAAATATTTTGATTTTTTTTTCCACTATTGAAGTTTTCTCACTGACTTTTTTTTACACTCGTAATAAAAATGATTTTTATGCGATTGACGCGGAATCTCTTAAGATGTCAATTTGACGATGCACAACGAATAGAAATGAAAAACTACAGCAATATTTTTTTTTGGAATCGAATCGAGCAAAAAAAAAGAACCAAATGATGTGGCATCAAATAGCAGAAACAAATTTAGTTTTGAATAGAAGTTATCCATCAGTTTCCATACCAAAAATTAAAGTTTCGTCTCAATTTCGAATAGAAATGATGGTTGCACAAGAAAAAAAAAAGCTCATTATATACGATTGTTTGGATGTAAAATCAATGAAGCGCAAATGTTTACGGGCAAAGCGGTGTCAGTATAATTATATCATGATAGTACGGTACAACGCGGCCGTAGAATGGGATTATCCGTGTGAATAGGTGAATTTAAACAGGTATGAAATCGAATTGGGTCAAAACTTATTATCTCATCCCACGTCTGACACCTCAAATATGGGTCATCAATTGGTGGTAGACTGATTCTTACACCAAATACAATTGAAAATAGTCAAATGAGGAACGAAAGTTCAAATATGGCAAAATATTATTGAAAAAAAAAAAAAAAGATTCGTTTTTAGTCATCTGAAATATTTAATTAAAAAATGTTTTTTTTTTTCTTTTTTTTTTCAATCAACCGAAGGAATGTTGTGCTTTAAATTTTACCGACCTGGCCGCACTTTGTGGAGGAGCTTTTTGAGCATGGTATCTACCAGTCTACTGACTGTTAGATGACGCCTTGGTTCTCTTTTTATCTCCATTCTCGAACTCGTTCGTCTATGTGTGTGCGTGTGCGTGTGCATGTGAATGGTCTTTTGTGAATGGAGTAACGATGCATGCAGAATGCGCAACAGCAATTGTCACCGTGGCTGTCAAACGTAAGAGATTCATTGTGAAGTGAGAAGAAGGCGAAAGAGAGTGAGTAAGAGAGGAAAAAAGCTAGAAAATGTACACGATAGACTAAAAAACATTCATTTTTTTTTTAATATCGGTTAAATTTAATTTGATTTCATCCCGTACCGATTGATTCCGATATTTAAGCAACGATTCACACCGTTCATACAGAAACAGTAAATCACACAGTGGCCAATTATTTGTATAGAAATTTGTTCGCGTTCTATCGCACGGATAAACAAAACAAAACACACACAACATTACATTAACTTTAGTTATTAGTGTAGAAAATGCAAAAATACGAAAAATTGGAAAAAATTGGTGAAGGTTTGTGGTCCAGGATATTTATTTCAAATGGTGCGGGCAATTTTTTGATTTGTATTTGATCGATATTTGTAGGTACTTATGGCACCGTTTTCAAAGGAAAGAATCGAGATACACTGGAAATTGTGGCATTAAAGCGCGTTCGCCTCGACGAAGATGAAGAAGGTGTGCCATCGTCAGCACTCAGGGAAATCTGCTTGCTAAAGGTAACCAGTCACGCTTAAAAATCCCAATTCCATTTTCCAAAATGACTAAATTCACATTCAATTTGTAGGAGCTAAAGCACAAGAATATCGTGCGACTCTATGATGTTTTGCATTCAGACAAAAAGTTGACGCTGGTATTTGAGCATTGTGACCAAGATTTGAAAAAATATTTCGACAGTTTAAATGGTGAAATCGATTTGGATGTGGTAAAAAGTTTTATGTATCAATTGTTACGTGGACTGGCCTTTTGTCACAGCCACAATGTGCTGCACCGTGATCTCAAGCCACAAAATCTATTGATCAACAAAAATGGTGAATTGAAATTGGCCGATTTTGGTTTAGCCCGTGCATTTGGTATACCCGTAAAATGTTACTCCGCCGAAGTTGTGACTTTGTGGTATCGACCGCCGGACGTTCTGTTTGGTGCCAAACTATACACAACGAGCATTGATATGTGGTCAGCCGGTTGCATATTCGCCGAGCTGGCAAACGCTGGCCGACCTCTATTTCCCGGCAGCGATGTCGATGATCAACTGAAACGTATATTCAAATTACTCGGTACACCAACGGAAGACACTTGGCCTGGTGTCAGTCAATTAGCCGATTTTAAACCGTTCCCATGTAAGTTGCTCTGAATACGTTCGCTGAAATATCGATTGCATTGGTAAATTTTGGTTTTTTCTTTCCCGCATTTCAGTGTACCATCCGACGACTTCATGGAGTCAAGTTGTTCCACGACTGAATTCCAAAGGTCGTGATCTACTACAAAAATTACTAGTTTGTGTACCAAAAATGCGAATTAATGCTGAACAGGCGATGGCACATCCATATTTTACCGAAAACTAAAACCAATCTCTTGTCATCCGACTGATTTCTAAACAATGACATCTTTTGAACGTTTGAATTTTACCCCAACCAATTTCCTTGAGAGAAAAAAAAAACAGACTTAAGACGAAAAACGAACGATGTTCAGTAATTTTTATGCAAACTATACGTAAGACCAACTTGTAATAATGGCCATTCCGATCCCAAATGGAAAGAAAAACACGAAACAAAAATATATTACACATAATTTATGTGACAAACTGAATTCATTATTATATTTGTGAACCAACTCTCTTGACGATATGAAATGAATGCAAAACTCTTTTCAATTTTACAACGTATTCAATTCGTTTTTAATTTGAAAATATCATTTAGAAATTGCAATTTTCCGCGTTGACCAATTTCGATTGCTGTGCGCGACACTTCTTTAATTTCGATAGTTCAGCGCAATGAAAATAATCTTCTTTGAAGCAATGAAATTCGTTGATTAAATGATGTTCATTTGCATAAGGGTATTATACTTCAACTCCATCATTGAAATAAACGCCCAAAACGATCCATTCAGACGATTGAAATAAATAAGTGAAGATTTTAAATGTTGCATTTTTTTGTTACCAATAATTCGTACATCCTCACCCGTGTCGCCATCTAGTATGATGTGATTGAAAGGCTGACTGTCAAAGTGTGCGGACGCAAACTCTCAATCGGTTTGGTCACACAATCGGATTTGTTTATTTTGATTTTGAGCTGTTGCATTTGGAGGAAATAAGAAAACAGGTTACGACTGGCCATTTACCATGTCGAAACAGTGTCGATTATGTGCAAAATTCACCGAAAGTGCCATCGATTTATTCCTTGAACATGAAAACACTCTACTCACAAACATCAATCATTTTCTGCCAATCAATGTAAACATATAAACAACATCACCTCAATCGAAGCAAGCCGCAATAAATGTACTGTAAACGAATGTTTTATATTTTCATGTGTAGATATCCAAGGTGAAGGAATTGCCATCAAAGATTTGCTGCAAATGTGTCGACCGATCCAATGCAACACATTTGTTCATCCAGGAAGTTCTATTGGCGCAAGAAGTGTTTGGAATATCCACCAATACTTCGGCACACATGGCAGGAGCAACAAATAGGTTTGAGCTAATTTTTTGTGTAACTTGTTTTTTTCCTCCTAAATCTGGTTTAGTCTGGGCGATAAAAACTAACTGGTGCGTCATTCATTTTCAGCGTCATGTATGGTGGAATAACCATAAGTTCAATGAACCAAACAACAATAAATGTTCCATCGTCAACGAACAAACGTAAAAAGGTGCAAAACGTGTCGGAAACATTGAGAAAACTGAAGAAAATGCAAACCGGTAATTTGACGATATCCAAGAGAATTGTGCAAGGTCCAAAGCCGATACGAAAATGCAAAAAAGAGCCAAAAACTTATAAAGAAGAAGGGGAAGATAGCGAGGTCGAGTTCGATCGGTGCGATGACGAAGATAATGATCCGAATTTCGATGGTGGTAGAGCCCATGAGGTCAGTGAGTCCGACGACAATTACGACAATGACGACGATGATGATGATTACAAGCCGCTCAGTAGTTGGGTCAAATCGAATAAGAAGGCTAAATTGAGTAAACCGGCCACTAACATGAATGATTCCAACCAGAAACTACCTCAGTTCGATGCAAAAACCGCAGACACAAGTCCGAAATTCAAGGCTCTTAAAATCAATGCACCGCCGGTGTTTCTCTGTATGAAGTGTAAAAATCGATTTGATTCACTGATCGCCCTGAAGCAGCATGTATTCCAGAAAAATTCCTGCTCAGTAACCCAGTTGACCTGCAATGTGTGCAACAAAACGTTCGAAAACAAGAAACGAATGTCACAGCATATGAAGAGTCATGAGGAAAAGGTCAAATTTATATGCGATAAATGTGGAAAGATGTACCACCAACAGTTCAATTTGGAGAATCATAAATCCGCACAGCACGGCGAATATTTGGACGAACATCAAAATGTGTACAAGTGTCGTTTGTGTAGTGCAAAATTCGATAATCGCACCGATTTGTACACACACATGAAGAACCATGCAAACGATAATCAAGAACTATTGTGCGATACCTGCGGAAAGTGTAAAGTTTTTTTGTATTTGTTTCTAAAGGCTTTTCTTAGTTCACCATGGCAATGGATGTTCAATGTTCCTTTCGTTTAATTATATTATTGTTTAATTGATTTTTTAGGTTTCAAGAACAACCACAATCTCAAGAATCACATGAGAACGCATCTAAACCTACGCCCGCACGAGTGCACTTTTTGCCCCAAAAAATTCCGAACAAGACTTCTGCTCAAACAGCATCTACACGTACACACTGGCATCAAAGAATTCCAATGCAGCGTATGTGCAGCATTATTTGCCAAACGCGATTCGCTGAGAAGCCACATGCGGAAACAACATCCGGACTATCAACCCAATAAAACCAACGATGCGATCAAAGAATCTGAGGTACCCGTGAATATTATCGAAAAGCCTCCAAATGGTGATTCAATGCCAATCGATTCAGCAACAATCGATCAAGTGCCAAACCATTCAGCACCAATGAACTCGGAGCCAACTGATTCAATGCCCATTAGTTCATTGCAATCAATTCTAGGCAATCAGTTGTTGGAATCAAAGAATTAGAAATTTGTATATTAAAAAACGAACTCTCTGAAAAAATTGTAAAATGTTGAGAAAACCAAATAAAAATAACAAATCGAATTGAATCGAATGAAAAACCACTTTGGCCATATTTTTATTTGAAATTTTTACTTTATTTTTGTTCCATTTCCTGGCTTTAGTTTCACATGATGTTCATTATATTATGATTAATTTTCATTTTTCTCATTACATTGTTATAAACTTTTTTTTTTTGATCAATAGAGAACTTTTCTGCGCCCAATTCAAACATTTTCGTCATAATGTCGAAATATGTTGGCGCTTTATCTTAACCGTATGCTTAAATCATCATCCACGCACACAAATGATGTCGATCGAATGCATTGTTTTGATTGTTTTCGATTCGGGACTTTGTGACATAATATGCGCACCAGAATATCGCCCAATCATGGCTAAAACTGTTTAAACTGGGGGTAGCGGTTAGTTTTCCTTAAATTTTAATCATTAAATTATTGTTATCATTAACTGAATTTTTCTGTTAATATTTTCTCTGATGTGTTTGTGTGTTTATGGGTGTTTTTTGTGTGTGTCTTTGTGTGCGATGAATTATTTGTATTGTGTCACGTGTCGTCATCGTCGATGCCGAAGACGACGACGATGTTTTTTTTTTTGGTTTGGCCATCGTTCTCTTGGGCTACAACGAACATTCACATTTCCAAATGCTGCTTTGGATGCTGTGAATCACGATTAAAATCCGAATCGGATCCCACTTGACATTGCTACTTTTATCAAAAACAGAAACGAAATGAAAAAAAAAATGAAAATGCAACATGAGTCCACATTTTGCAACAGTGGTGGCCATATACGGCATTGGACCAGTAAATCATTGAGAAATTATACATATATATATATATTAGGAATCTCATCAAAATGAATGCATTTTCTTTTTTTTATATATGTGTTTCTGTGTGTTTTTTTCTTTGTGGTTGTAGTAGTTGCTTTGTGAATATTTGACGAAAACTAGCTTAAAGTGTTTTGTTTGTTCTTTATTCTCTTATTTTTTAAATTAAATGTTTTTTTGTTGTTTTTTTTGTTATATGAAGAATATTGGCCCTCGATAGCGGTATTAGTTGCAATTTGAGTCATTGGTTATAAATTTATCTTATCACAAATGAAGGGTCTCGACGAATTGGTCACTATTTTCCAGATGACCTCATCAATGGGCCAACTTTGCATACCGCTAAATAGAGCCATATCCTCATCACTTTCTTCTCTTTTTTTTAACTACAATTATTATATAAATCAATGACTAGAAACTATGGTCTGTTCTATTAATTTTTTTGTTTTTCATTTCTCCTTTAAATGTCGAGTGATTGATTGGTTAATCGATTTGATTTCATTATTCCCATTTTTGTTGTTGTTGTTGCAAATAGTTAATTGGTTGTTGTTGTTATTCATCAATTTATTGTGACTGCGTGCGTAGTTTTTTGTTTCAAAATGTGAATAATGCATTTTTGTTACGTGTTAATGAGAAATTGTGAGAATTAAAAAAGGTAATTATGGTGAAGATTTTTTGTTGTTCTAGATTGATTGGTTGGTTGTTTTGTTTCATTTGTTCTAATTTTAATGTCGCAGGCCTAAGCCAATGCATTTTATTCTTGGTTAAGATCCACAAAAACGCGCTCATACCGCACGACAGAAAAATTGTCCGATTGAACAATTGAAATAGATTTCAATTGAGCAAAAATAGGTTGATTGATCTGGTTTTGTTGTTATTGAATAATATTGTTGCTTTGTTTCTGTTTAACTCTTCATTTTAGATATGATGACAAACGGTGTTTCTTTTTTTTTCTTCATTTATTTTGTTTTTTTTCTCTTCAAATCTGCATTAGATTTATTGAATCATTGTCAGAAGTCGATCAGAATTACATAACGATGACTCAAATTTGTATATTTAGTCGTTTGTCTCTGAGTGTTTGTTTGGTTTTTTTTCTCTTGTGTTTTATGTCGTAAAATGAATATCCTAAAGACATGTGGTGCCGTTTTGTTTTAGTCGATAAGCGCCTCGAAGTAATATTTGCTTTGCACCATTTTCACAGAATATATTTTCTCTGCTCTGTGTGTGTATGTCTCTCATCATTCTACTTCTTGCACACTTGTTTCTTGTTTGTTAAATTTGTAAATTTTCGCTTATGATTATGAACACGTCATCGTTCAACTAAATTAAATTTCATTTGTTTTTGTTTTGTATGTTCATCTCTTTGGAATGGGAAATCGGGTTAGAGGCTAAGGAACCAAAGATAATAACATTACATACGTGATTGCGATCGAATATTTCCATTCATTGCGCAATGGTTCATTTAGTCCTGAAAAATAACAACGAGAATTAACGCCATAAAACCATTTCAATTTTCACAAAAAAAAATTAGATTCGGCAATTGATTAGTTTAAAATAAATAATTCGTTGACTACAACCAACGCTATTTTTGTGGTTTTTTTTTACATTTTTCATTTTATTTGAATAATTTCTTGTAATATTTTAAATACAATTTTCTACAGGAAATTTAATCATTTTGTTGGTTTTGCTTTTTTGTTGTTGTTCACTTTTGCAACAAAAATTTTCTCATTTATATTTTACTCTTTTACTCACGTTTCACTTTATTTTGGAATTAGCGAATGTCATTTGAGGATTTTTGGATCGGAAATGTTGTTTATGATACCATGAATGTGATTGAATGAATCGCTAATATAATTTTCCGAGCAGATTGCATTTCCGTACTATAATGTATTTCAATAGGAGATTTTGTATCTCATTTTAGTTTTTGGTGTTTTGCCAAAAGCCTCACTGATATAAAAGAGCAACGAAAAGCAGAATTACTGGTATTATATCCCGATAAAATAAAAACAAAATATAATTCGTTCGAACATCATTTAGTGTTAGTCGCTTGGCTTCGTGTTCTCAGCTTTCACATTGAATAAATTGTTGTTTTCTTTAATCTTTGCTTTATTTCCCTTCAATTAGATTACTTCTAGGCATAATGTTCACAATTCTTTTAATTAAATATAATTAGTATTTATCGATTTTTCTTTTATCTCCTTATTGATTTATTCTTATTTTTTTTTTGTCAATTTCCATAGTTATTTCGTACTCGATCTCATTTCTATTAAATTGTGATTTATTTTCTTATTTTTTGGTTTCGTATTTTTTTTTTGCTGAAAAAATAGATTGAGATAGACGAAATAATTAATAAACCTTTTACACACATCAAACGCAAATGTGACGATTTGCTTGTTTTTTATGAAAAAAGAGTGAGAGTGAGAGTGTGAGATTAAGAGAGCTATTTTTTTTCTTGTTGTTGTTGCTTTTGCTATTGCTATTAGTCAATTTCTAAAGTTTGATTTCATCTGGTTGCTGTGTTATTTCACCATAAATACGATTCTATTTGGTTTTCATAGTTGCCATTGGCACAAAAACAAATGTAATGCAGCTCTCTCTCTCTCTCTCTCTCTCTCTCCCTCGGTTCATCATCAGAGGGATTCGAATTTGTTGCTTTAGATGACCATTAAGTAGCTATTTATGTGTTTTTGTTTGTGTGTGTGTGTGTGTGATTTTCTTCATTTTAATTTACAGAAATTGTACAAAAAATGCAAGTTTCTATTATAATAAATTATTAATTCATCTTTATTAAATTTTGTTGTTGTTGTGTGTTTGTATCTGCTTCCTATTCCGTTGTTTTGGCCATGTCGTCTACAGAGTCGACCGGCCAATTTCACTGACAACATCGGCTGATTTCTGTGTGTTCATTTAATTACTAATTAGTAGTACATTTTGTGTATGTGTGTGTTTTAGTGAGTGTAAAAAGGTAGGCGTGCGTTTTCGTTTCTTTTTGTATGGTCGTTTTCATTATCTTGGTTTTTTTTATTGTTGCCGTGAATGTTCTGTTGTCACAAGATGACTTTAAGCGAATTTCATTTTCGTTTATTCTGTGTTTGTGTGTGTGATGCGATTGAATTGTGATTTGTGTCTAGAAATTTCTATTTTGATTTGTTGTTCTCTTCTCCTTCTTCTTCTATTTTGTTCTGAGTTTATTCGATAGTAAAAAAATTCGACTATCTGTTTAAGTGATGATGTGTCTTTAGTGTTAGCGATGGAAACGGCGCTCAGAAAATGTTATTCAATGAAAATGAAAACGACTTGAGACTTCGACTAAAGCGCAAATACCGAGAAAAAAAGTAAATTCATGCCATTTTATTGGCATTTGCACTCTGTCGTCAAAAGGACCCGTGACTTTGACCATCAATTCTCACTCGGCACGGGGGTTCAACAGTCGACAGTCTTCTCTCTTCCCTTGAACACTCACTGCTCTTATTTTGCCCTTGTTTTCTATTTCACCTTTTAGAATCAGCTGTTGCATTTCTCTGTGTGTTGTATTCTATTCTCTTTATTTTCCTATTCCATCAAAATGCAAATTTCAAAATGAACCTTTCACATCAGAACGGTTTATTTATTATTTTAAATTTGTTTTTTCTTTCTTTAATTTTTATAAATAAATTTTAAACACTCAATATCAATATACTGACATAATTTTTTTTTTCTTTATTTTTCTTAAATCTTCATGTTCATTCTTTTCATTTGCTCTTGGTGAAGAAGATTTTATTTAATTCTAGTTCAATTATGTGTGGTTTTCTCCATTTTTTTTTTGGTATTTGACTATTTGTTTTGAAATCAACATTGATTTGTGTGAAGTAATCTCTTGCTGTTTGTTTCTTCTTCTTTGCTGCTGCTCATACAAAACCGCCAATTGAGGCTTTTAGATGAACACCTTATTGTGCCTACCGCCTAAGATCAAAGTCGAAAACGCAATCGATGCTGGTGCTCCTTCGTGATTCAATTACACATTTTGTTTTTATTTTGGCATTCAGCTTAGTGTTTTTTTTTGTGTATTTGTGAATTTTTGCTTTGCATTTTATTTTTTTTAAGGTTTTGTTTTTTTTTTTATTTATTCGATTAGTGGGTACGCGTTTCCATTTTGTGTGTTTGTGTGTGTTATGTGTTGTATATCTCTTACTCTTTGGTCTCATTGGTTTACAAATTGTTTCACTTTTTTGTATTTTTCTTTTTGTTCATCTTTATTATCGTTATTACTATTTAAATTGCATTATAAATTTTAAATCAACTATCAGTTTAATATAAATTACCATCTAACATATGAAAAGCCAATGGGCGCAAATATTTTGCAAGTATAGTTATTTGTTGATGTTCAATTTGTTGACATTGAATATCCACTCAGCTTTCATTATTGCTTCACAAACATTTGACACGTGAAAATAGAGGACAATTCAAATGGTTGTTTCTTATTGAATTAGATATTTGACTAGGGTATAGTTCCCCCTCCCTTTGAGAAAAAAAAAAACAAAAAAAAAGAATGGTTGACTCAATTTCGACGCAAGCACCATTTTGATCGGGCAGCTGGTCGCATGGCATTGTTCAAGGTAAAAACTAATTAGACAAAAAATGACTAGCATGCCGACAATTTGCTCATTTTATTCTTTTTTGGTTTAATTTGTACATTTTTTCTTTCTTGGCAGTGTGCAATAAATAGAAAAAGGGAGAGAACGCGATAGATAGTGAAAATTTAAGGAGGAAACCTAGTTGAAATGGAAATTGCTCTTGCATGAATGTCAAATAATGGCTAAGGGAGAAACGATTGAACTGAATGTTAATTCACGCGACCGCACGAGCGCACATCTAACATCATCTGTAACTTTTCCCCGCAAAATATTACCCACTTGGCATTACTTTCATATTAACAAAATACATTAGTTAATCTAAGCATGTAAATTTATAATATTTTTTGTTGTTGTTGTTTTGTTTTGTTCTCATATTGTTATTCCTTTGAATGTCTACAAATTGTTGTTGTTTGTTTGTTATTATACACGAATGGCAAACGATGCTCTCTATTTCGTTCAATGATTAGTTTGTATTTATGATTTTTTTTTTTAGAAAAAATACTCAACGCAATTTGTCGTCTGTTTAGTTTGCCTGGTTGTTGTTGTTGTTGTTCTTGTGCTCTTCTTCATCTTCATTTAGCTGAGAGTGTTCTCTTTTTGTGAGTGTGTTTATGTCATTGTGTGTGTGCGCCTGTGTATTTATTTTTGCAACGATGCTATCAATTACATTCTAAATTTTGTAGATAAATTATTCATTTAATCACTATTTTGTTTTCTTGAAATAAGCAGTTCTTTTTTTGTATGTGTCGCTTTGTGTGACAAAGTTTTTTTGTTTTCGCTCAAAAGGTTTTTTTTGGTTATTTCAGCTTGAGGAAATGTCAATCAATTTTTACAGTTTTCGCACATAAATATTGAGTTTGTTTGCTCGCATTTTGCTTCACTTTGTCAATGAACATACATCTATTGGTATAAATTAAAGTAAGCTTATTCGGAATCGCAATTGAAGAGTATGAGCCGATCATTGTTGATTTGTTGGTCTTTTGATTTAAAATGAAATGCATGGCCCGTCGCAAATGAATTCTGACAAAAAAAAAGAGAGTGAACAAACGCTTCCATCAACCCGTTTCGGCTCAGCACCAGCGAAGGGCTTTCGTCAAAAAGGAAGAAAAGAAACTGATGATTTTTAGTAGCTGATCTGTGTGTTTGTGTGTTTTTAACTGTACACTGGTCTACACGAATAAATGTGTTTTATAATTATCACTAGGGTGAAACGAAGGAAAACAACGATGGTTTTTATTTGGGATAATGTTTTGCTACAGCTACATTTTCTTTCGCTAATGGCTAGGTAATTGCTTCTTTTTTTAACTAGATTAATGTGTGTTTGTGTGACTTGAACCACGAACACTTTCCAACAACTTCCCTTTAAAACAATTATTAGAACGGTTTCACCGGCAAAATTAGACAGCACACTTGTTTTTCTTTTTTCTCTTTCTCTCATCTTGAAGAAAATTAGCAATCGCACTAATTGATTTACACAGTTTACATCAGCTGCATGAAAAGTAGAAAAATCTTCCTCTTTCCTTTTATCAGATGTGTTACGCAATGAATCGATGCACAAATTCTCGACGAGCATTTTTTTTTATAATATTCTAATTGTCTACGGAAATTGCCCTTTTTGCTTGAAAAAAAAGCATTTTGTCGGGAAGCGTCATTCATTTGTGCAACAACGGTGGAAATGTGCCCATTTTTGCGGGCAGTTTCGAATGATGATCAATCTGTCTAGTTAGCTAGTTTAGTTTTTGATTCAGTTGCAGATTATCCATAGCAGTAGCCCATAAAGTACAAAATGTTGGCACAGGTTCAATTTTGAAGTGTTTTTCTTCTGCTCGTCTACTGTTTTCTCTTCCTTTCATTTTGAAATGTGAAAAGTTTAAATGAATTCTAAATTCATTGCAATTGTTACTATGAGTTATTAAATTGAATGCTTTTTCCTACTCATTGTTACTGCAATGTTCATGGTTGTTGGTATTTGTTTTTGGTTCGACAAATTTCATCACTTTAAACTGCCACCACCGTTGGTTTTGGGGCGCGCATGGTAAACAGCGCGCATGTTATGCAACTATTTGAATCACCTCGTCACCGTGTTACATTTTACTTTGTTCAACAGGACCCGATCCAACAAAACTTTTGTAATGACTTATGGATTTGGAGACAGCGAAAAAGAGAGAATGAGAGAGGAACAATATGCAAGTGGTGCTCTTCATATGGCATAACAATTTGGTTTCTTTTTTTCATTTGACTAGTTAAACGCTTGAACGCTTCAAAAATGCTGAGTGGCAGTTCCAAATCAAACGATCATTTATTACATGGAGCACTGAAAAGAAGTCTTGGGTTTCATTTCATTTCATTTCATACCTTCGATCTAGATATAATTGCGATCAGTCAAGAACATGCGAAAATCACTTCTATTTTTTCTAGGGCAAAAATGGTTCACAATTGCAAATGCACAACGGATGCAGTGAATTTGAATGGCGATTTGTTAATGTGTGTGTTTTTCCATAGGTTCATTTGGCGATTGTTGCAAATTGGTTTATCATTTTGTGTAGTTTGGGCTTGTACATCATATTTATCTTGAATGGACACAGGCATTCTTCAATAGCATCCGTTATGCGATTTGTTTTAATGATGGTTCTTGGTTTGTTGATGTGCGCACGACAAGCAAATTGTCGATAATTGTGCCGGCGTATGTGTATAAGCGACAGATCATTATCATAAAATGTTCCATCATCATCTTCTTGTTCCTCTTATGAATTAAATAGGTAATAAAAGTTTTGCGCGTTCTTTGCATTCGAACTTTTCGTTTGCCTGCTCTTTTGTTTTTCTTCTGCATATGTGTGTGCTTGTGTTTGTGCCACAATTCGCATGCCAAATAAAACCGAGGGAGAAAAAACAACCACAACTCAAATATGAAGGGAAAATGACTGAAGTAATTTTGGCTGTGCCGCAATTAATTATTACGTAATTCTTTTTCTATGTAAGACAAACTCAATTCTTATCACGATATGGTGATGATGAATTTTCATGATCGATTTTTGTTGAATTGTTTTTTTTTCTTTCAATCATATGGTTTGGTATTTGGTTTGTTGTCAGATGCTTTGAATAAATGTATTTTTGGTTGTTGTTGTTGTTGAGACTGCGTTCAATAATTATGTACAATATCCGTGTGAACGTGTGTATTGGTTGTTTCAGGTTGGCGTGTAAAGTGTTTGACAAATTTGTGTGTTATTGTGAGCGCATTATTTTTTGTTTGTTTTGTGTGTGGTGACTGACTCACTCGGCGATTCGAAATTTGTGTAAGTCTAGAACCATTTGTTTAGTCGGTTCTATGGCTGTCGTTTCGGTTTGCTGCTTTGTTTTGTTGACATTCGTCAGAGATTTTCATCTTCTTCTTCATCAATTTTTTTTTTTGCCATTAAATATAATAATCAAATAAGATATTGAACATTTTTTTGAGTGTACTCAGCTACAAGTATGAGTACACTGTATAAGATAGGTACATTCTCTTAAGATTATAGAAAAGTCACAATTTTTTTGTTCATTTTTTTTCAATTTTTTTTTTGGGTTTGTTTTTTTAGACATTTTTTTTTCTCATAATTTTTTCCTTTGATTGGATTTTGCGAAAACTTTACATTTATATTTTTTTATATATAAATTTTTTTTTATTGATTAAATGAAAACCAAAACAGACGCTCAAGAGAAAAAAATGAACGAAAGAAATATAGAGAGTTTGCAATTATTCTTGCTTTCTATCGCGTTTTTTTTTGTTTGTTGTTGTCCTCACAAATTTTTTGGTTGAAGGTTTTTTTTTATCATTTTTTTGTTTGTTTGTATGTGTGTTTGTGTTTTTATTGGTTTGTTTCAATTTCTATCGTCGGATGTATTCGTAATAAATAGAATAGCTAATGAAGTAACGCTTAGTTGTTCTTCCTTTCGACTGATTTCTTTTTTCTCCTTTTCATCATTTTTCTTGCGTATGAATTAATATTATTTCTTTATGTAAACATGAAAGCTATGCGTATGACTCCGAGAAGTTCTGTGTGCTTGGATGTCATCGATCGGGTGGTGGGGCATGTGGTACAATTTGCTCACCGAAATTCACAAATCAATTTGTAAATCACGGATCAGTGTAGCAAACAAACACACACACACATTACACACGCGTATTTCGATTCGACAAATTTTGTTTCATACCCAAAACCACAGAACATCTTATAAATGGTCCTTTTGCAGAGCATTCATGGAAATTAAACAACGACTTTTGGTGATATAAATATAAAATATGTTATAATACATAAATATGCATTTATAATACATAATGGCTTCATGTTCATTTTCATTACTCTTATTTTTAGTTCTTTGCCCTTTCATCTGCTGCTTTTTTCTTTCATTTTTTTCTCTTTTTTTTGTATTTTAGAAATAAGTGGTTTTGCTCCTCAATGACGTTGATTCTGATTAGTTTTTTTTTCTTTTCGTTCAGAGTGTATTTTTGTATTGGTATGTGGATGTTGTTGTTGCTGTTGCTGTTTTGTTGTTCACTTTGGTATGTTTGATGCATTTGTTCTTAGTTTCGTTTTTAAATTTTCTTGGTTTTATTTGTTTGTTGGTTTGTTTTAGTTGTGGTTCATGTGTAGGTCTAAATAGGGTTAATTTGTTTTATTTTTTTTTTTGTAATTTTTGTGTTGCTTTAGTAAAGACCACAGCCTCGAAGGTTATTTGCTATGATAACATCGGTGACCGCATCAAATACAAACTGAATGTTATTGGTATCGGTTGCACAAGTCATGTGACAATAGATTTCTTTTGAGGTGGATTTATTTTTAGCTTCGAATTGAGCTTGTATGTAGGCAGCCGCTTCGCCGTATTCTTGACCGCCTTCATTTCCGGTAGGTGCACGAAAAATCGGTGTGTGAACGATGTAGTGGGGAGCGAATAGAACAGGAACGAGAAAAAAAGAACAGAATCGATATATGAGTATGGGAAAAAAATAATGATAGACATTTTTAGAGAGAGAGACTGACACAAGTAGTACATATACTGAGCGAGATTAAGAAAACGATTTAAATTTCCACATCTCACACGTGCTGTGATACATAATACGACTAAGACTCAATTAACTCACCTGTATATTCAGGGAAACAAATTGTCAGTGGGCTCTTACGAATCTTTTCTTCGAAAAGATCTTTTTTATTTAAAAATAGGATAATTGATGTATCCGTAAACCATTTGTTATTGCAAATAGAATCGAATAATTTGAGGGACTCTTGCATTCGGTTCTGCGAATGAAAATTAATTACATTTAATGAATTATATAAAAATAGCGCAAAAATCAATTACGTCAAGACCAGGAGAAATTATGTAAGAATTTTCATGTTTTTTTGGTGTAAGACCTATCCATGAAAATCCGTTCTAAAAATACAGTGAAATTCATAGTCCATCGTATTCAAAATCGGGCTTATTGTCATTTCGAAGACGTAGACAAGTTGTATGGATGTTATGCACAATTGAATGGAATATAAATACAAACCGTGGTCTCATCCTCATGTAATACTTGATCATATTCAGACATTGCGACACAGAAGATGATTGCGGTAACATCTTCGAAGCAATGAATCCATTTCTTTCTCTCAGATCGTTGACCACCGACGTCGAATAATCTATGGAGAAACACGCAAAATAAACCAATAAACATACAATGGGCTAAAAACGAATTTCGGTGGATAAATTTTTGACTTGCTGATTACTTACTTAAAGTTTAGATTCTTAAATGAAAAGTGTACTTCAACTATTCCAGTAGTTTTCACTCTTGTTCGTAATATATCTTGTTCGGTCGGTTGATAATCTTTAGCTCCTAATCGATCTAAATCGTCCAAGAAACTGGAAGAAAAAAGCGAATTGAGATGTAAACAATTAGAAGTGTTTTTGCAACATAGCGATGTACATAGTGTGATTTATATATATATATATATGAACATATCAAATTAGTTCCATTTTTTTAAAGTTGGGTCAAGCATTGCAGTTTAATCATATTGGTCAAAGGTTAAGTTCTAAGGGTCCATTAAACAAAAATGTGGATAGAGTGATAGAGAGAGAGAGAGTGAGGGAGCATTTCATTTGCAATGTGCGGTACATGCTTATCGATTTTGTGTATTTAACCACGCCTATAGTGTGACTCGTGTGCGATGCTCTCTGCATGTACACTACACATTTTTCATTCTGGCCATTCTGTTGCTTGTTCATATTCACACATTATAGCTATGCTCTCTGTTTATTTATTTTTTTTTTGCTTTACATATTCTCTATCCATGACAAAAACCAACTTCAGCATTTCATGTTTTTGCACACAGAGCACCGGGAGAACGCGCGCGATAGAGGGAGAGAGGGTGAGAGAGAGAGAGAGTGTGTGTGTCGTCAATGCTTGCATCAATTGGCTCACGACATGAATGCCAGAAATGTGGATAAAAATGAATCATCTCGCACATTCTGAATTACGTCAATATCATTTTGCGGAAACGATACAGAAATTTACTTCAAACCTTCAAGTCAAATTGAAAATCCATGTTAATCGACCGAAATTTATAATTGGCGTCACGTCGAACGGAAACGAGATGCAGTTAGTGGAATCGATAACAGCAACAAAACATGCGGCTAAAAAGAATCGAAATAAAGACGACGAAGAAGGAATTTAGAATCAGAATCATTACTCTGATATAAATTCATCAGTTGTCACTATACTTGCATTTCTAATTGGATTGCAAACGTCAAGCCAAACGACGATGCACATGTGGATAAGTCACAGTCGCAGAAAAGCACAATAAAACGTACACACACAGGGAGAGAGAGAGAAAAACTTTTTCCTTGCAAATAACTTTGATGCATTGGAACAATTATAGAAAAGGAGACTGGAAAAAAATCAATAAAACAGTTGCATAAAACCAAGCCAGAGATTGAGAATGTGTTGTGAAGAGTGTAACATGGATTCGAGAATGGAAAATTGTAATTGGGAAATTGCACTAAGCTAATTGAAATTAGTGTGCTTAGGTCAGTCAATAATATTGACACATTTGGTTAAGCAGATGTTTATAATTGGACATATTCAAAATCCATCGCAGCTATGAAAAATCACATTTAGCCCCTGTTCAAACGACCAAAAGCCAAACAGCCAGCCAAACAATCAATCAACAATGACGTTCAATTAGTGAATGTGTGAGCATGTGAACAATTCACGCACGACCATCGCAAACAATTGCGAGCAACGTAAATATGTGATAAGTAGAAATCATAAGTGCGAACTAGAATGCCAGCTAATATGCGATTTGTGGTGTGGCCAAGTGGGAAAATCGTGCGCTATATTGTGCATATAATTTGCTGGTTTGAATAAATGGAACAGACAATACCAGCAAATTATTCGGAGAGCAAGCGAGAGCGGGAGAGAGAAAATTACATCTGAATAATAATAAAATTTGCCGTAACAAAATTTAGCCAACCAATTAAAATCGATACAAAATTAATAGAACACACGCAGGCTCTTCTGACGACACAGTTCATATTTCATTTGCTTTTATGCATATACATTTACCGCACTTGGTTCTGTGGCACATGGCGCAACCAAAAATGGAACATGATATTTTATTGATGGCAAATGCAACGTAACTGCATTGCTTTAAATTAACTATGCTCGTTATGTTAATCGAACAGTTTCCGTTTTCGCGACGGGGACTTTTCTCTCTCTCTCTCTCTCTCTCTCTCTCTCTCTCTCTCTCTCTCTCTCTCTCTCTCTCTCTCTCTCTCTCTCTCTCTCTCTCAATAGAACAATTTTTTTTTATTTCTGTGTGAGTGAGTTGTCGAAAGACCCATTTTATTGGGAAGTTTGCATGGGTAAAGAGTTTCGTCGACAAGTTGGAAAATGGTGCCATTGCTGCAATCATGGTGCAGACAATGTTCCTTCATGTTTGAGTGTCGCCAAATCATGTTGTTTAGCTATATGCATTTGAAATTTATAATTTAATATCATAGATTTTATGATCACGTAAATGTATTTCATTCCATGCAAACATCAGTAGTACAAAGTTCGGAATCTCATTCCATTCAATAACAAAAGAAAATCGGAGGAATTTTCACCGCATTTTTCAGCTGCTTCTTTTTCTTCATTCCTTATCATTTTACAATGTTCATTCGTTACCAATTCCGGATATTATATAGGTATATGGAGCAATCAATTTCAATTTTTCGGAAATTATCGACAAATAGAGAAATTACGAGGCGAAAAAAATGCAGAAGAAGAATGAAAAAGAGCTTTATGAACGAGTAGCTAAATTGATTTGCCCATTTCAGTGTTAAGAGGTGCAGAAGAAGTAATCCGTAATAATTGGCAATTGAAAAGTATATGTATGGCGTTAGAAATCAGAATGTCGATGAAGTACATTCACACGTAACATTTCAATGGTAATTAGCCTAGGCGTCATATCGGCCCGCTACCGAATGGTTGCAATCGCGTACACAGTACGCTACAATAATAGAATTTTTAATTGAAATTTGAATTGGTACGAACGATTTCAAAATCCGTGCAATGCTGTGCATTCACGTAAAGAAAGAAAGAAAGAGAGAGAGAGAGAGAGAGAGAGAGAGAGAGAGAGAGAGAAAAAGCGACAAACGGGCAAATTGGCATTTGTTGTTTATTTGTTTTTTTTTCTTCAACCCGAAACCGCCTGGACATCATTATCTAGCTGCATTAAGCAAGGAAAATAAAAACGACAACCGACCAATAACTACAACAAGAAAAACCACATCAAAGTCATGGCGATGTGTGCTTTTTTGTGTGGCTCGGTAGCCTCTTCATCGTCACAAGTAAATCGGTGAACATATATTAAAATTGCTCAAACAACAGAACAAAGCGGAATCGGACAGCCAAATGTAATGCCCCAAAAGAGATATAATCGGCGTGATTTTATTTAATTTTTTTGTGCATTGTTTGTGGCTTTGCTTTCTCGACTTTCAATCAGTCAACCGCCCAAAGACTAGATTAAGTAAAAATTCTTTTCACTTTTTTGTTCGTTGTTTGTTTGCTCGTTCGTTCATTCGTTCGCCACATTAAAACTCATCGTGCTATTGGATTGTTTGGTTTTCCATTGCGTGGTATGTTCCAAGTCGAAGTTACATAATCATATCGGCGAACAAGAAAACCGAATGAACTAAAAAAAAATATCGTACAACACAACAACGTGAAGTGAAACAATCACAGCAAGCAAAAATACGGTTACGTACTCATCATATCGCCGAACGTACACACCACACCGTGTACACGTAAAAGCGCACGTTCATTCAATCTTCAAATACAATTGGTAAAGTGAATTAAAACAAAACGGTGCATGTGAGCGCGCACACTCTGAGCACACAGTACAAATCTCCAGCGCGCCACTACAATGGTAATGATCGATGCCCATTCATAATGATCTGACAAAATAAATGGCAATTAATTTATCAAACAAGTTGCGCAAAAGTTCATCAAAACAACAAATGAAAAAAAAACGAACGAACGAAGGAAGGAAGAAAGACACCAACAGCGCGTGCACATACACACACAGCGTCGAGTGTGAAAATGAAATTGAAAATGAGATTTTCTTCGTGCCAGGTTTTGTGGGTCAGTAGAATATTTTTATGTGTGTGGTGTGCGCGCGCGTTGTTTGCCATTCCCATTATGACTTATCCAAACGGCGGCGATACACAAAAAAAAGGCGCCAAACCAAACAACGAAAATCAAATCTTCAACTTGGCTTTGTCGATCGATTGGTTGGTTTGAGAGCAATGATTTGATAATCAAGACAAATTACTATTGTTATTGTATATCCATCGCACGGATGACTTGAAAATTCCATTCAACTTCAATTTGAATTTGATTTTTTTTCCTCTTCTCCTTCGGTTCATGTTGTTTCCTCTTGTTGTTTTGCTCTTTATTGTTGAAGTTGGTCGGTTGGTAATTGCGAATGCGCTTTTGACACAATATTTTATATTTCTTTTATTTTAGTCATTTTTTTCGCAGTTGTTGTTGTTGTTACCATTCATGCGCGATTGGGATCGGGCAATTCATTCTTGTGACAGATTCGTGATTGGTTCGCTTCAGTTTGATGTTGTGTGTGTTTGTTTGGATTTCAACACATTGAGTTCCATTGAGAAAATTGCCTTGCGAAATAGAACAAAAAACAAGCTAATCGAATTGTAAATTTTCACTTTTCGCGTAACACTTCATTTGGCCGCTCGACCTGCATTTGCAATCCGTTGTCGAATACGTTTCGATTTTTCTTTATTTATTTGTGTTGTTTGTTGTTTTTGTTTCTTGTTTCTGTTTCTTGTTTCGAGCAGGGCTAAAATTCTGAAATTGCATTCGGTTTTGTGTACTTGTTGTTTTTATGTTTTTCTGTTCAGCTATTGCTTGTTTTGTTATGATTTTACAAACAAATTCATGCGAATGCACGGAACAAGAAATTGGCAATACACACACACACGAAAAAAAGAAGTCGTTACATAATCTCTCGCAGTGCGTTATCACATTCGGAGTATTTCTTTTGAATACCTTTGAATGTAGTGTAGGTTTTCTTTCGGGTCTCTGGCTTTGTTGTGTGTTACTAGCCAGTTTCAAATTGAACGTCGTGCATTATTCACGGTTGGTAATCGTACAGATTTGCCAGAGCATGTGCCGAATGTAATTGAATATGTAATGCATACGCATCGGATAGTCGGTGTGTGCATGGGTATCGTCACGGTGGTTTTTCTATGTTGGTTCGTTTGTTTTTGTTGGAATTTGTTTTTTCTTTTCATATATTTTATCGTCTTCTTCTTGTTCAATCATATATCGCTCTTGTTTTTATGCAGTAGTACAA